TATATATATACACATACATATTACTTCCCTACAGTTTTTCTAGCTCTCGATATCGATCCGCTGAGATGGGACCTCGCGAAGTTCCTGGCCGGGTGGACCGAGCTGGATGTTGATGAGGTACCGTGCTACTTGATCCAGCAACTAATGCTATGGTATAAAACTCCAATAATGTCATGACCGATCGTTCTTCTGGTGATGCTGGAGGTTCGTAAACCGATACCCGGAGGGTANNNGGGTAAAAGAACGAGCACAAATTGGGATCGCTAGGGTGCTGGGCTTTTCGTATTCGGGTGATATTAAGCTTCGGGACTCATGACTGGCTCGAGGTATCGCGAGCTATAAAGGGCCTTGTGAGTCTGGGATTGAAGTCTCGCGCTCGGTTGGGTTCTAGGCCTTGGGGTGTAAATTTAGGGCCCAGGGCTGAGGTAACCTATTTATACGTGTATACGATAGATTATGCGTACACTTGGAATAGAGGGTTGAAGCCTAGGCCTAGCAAAAGCGAAGTTTAAGTTTAGGCCCCAGGTTTGAGGCAACATTCATCCGAGAGTGGCCTTTAGTAGCATTCTGGATACGATGATGGGGTTTAAGCGGTTGATGGTACCTTATTTATAAATTAAATACAACAGTGGTCTTCAAAGGTACGTGGGTATACTTGTAATCCTGACCCCATACCCCATGCCTAAAAAGAATATGGGGGACTTGTATTATAATCCTGGCCCTACCCCCTATATACATATTATTTAGGGTATCTCGCGGGTACTTGCAATCCTGGCCCTACCCCGTGCATAAGCCAAAAAAGGAATATTCGAATTCCTAGCCCTACCCCATACATAATTATATAATAGCTGATCAAAAAGCATGTGGGATATGGGTATGTGGGTCATGTGCTTTTTACAGGGATTCTGGGTAGTGGTAATAATGCTGGCCCTACCCCATGCAGAAGCCCCAGACCCTGAAATTGAAGCCCGAGTAGATAGTTATTTCAACAATGCTGGCCGGAGGATCGAGCCGCCTGATCGACGTGTGCATGTGACTGCTGCGACCATGGACTTGCAGCCTCAGAGGTTTTGTGTAATAAGGTCTTGTCAGCGACGTAGAGCCCGGATGAAAATACCAATACGGTGCCATAGCTCGAATTAATAATGGTCATCTAGTACTGGCTCTATTCGCGACGAATTATCGGGCATCACCGCTGGGACCTGTGCCTTGTCCTACATCCGTGTTGCTAGGCACGGTGGACAGCTAATGATGCATCACTCCAGGATCTATGTTCGCCAGGAACCCCGAACCCGAAACCCTAGGCCTAGCTATCTACTCTACAGTCATGGTCACATGATTATTGAATTCAACTCCCCACATCGTTTCAATTTTGTCTGGAGTGGTCGTCTAGCTAATATCGTCAGCACATTGATAATTCAATGGTGCACACCCGAAATTGATGACATGGGATCGCGAGCAGCGAATGCAAAGCAGAAACTCGTATCTGATCTATCGGTACGGTGTGATGTAGCATCCCGTATTCGATGTGCATGCGAATTTATGTGGCGCATGAACTTATGTACATGTGGCCATGCGTGATTCGGTTCGAGGCAGTTCGTAGCTCATGACAACCCTAAACCCAAAACCCTAAACCCTAAACCCTAAACCCCTAAACCCTAAACCCTAAACCCTAAACCCTTATAAACCCTAAACAATAAACCCTAAACCCTAAACCCTAAACCCGGTAGCGAGCATCACCTCCCGAGTCGTTGATTCACCAAGTGTCTTGGCCCTTTAATGGTTTGCCGAATTATGGAGCCTTGATGAAGGTTAGGGCGGTATCGAAGCTTGGGTCTTATGGGTCGAACCCTAAACCCTAAACCTTAAACGGATGTTGCTAGTTGAGTGGTTCATGTGATTGCAACGAGCTGGTAGTTTAGAGTTAGGGCTTTGAAGGTTGGGGTTCCGAAGCATGCCTGGGTCCGACTGCATACAGATCGATTTGACTAGCGAGCTTGCGAATCCAACGGTTGAGTATTTTTGCATGCATAACTATATATTAATATGTTATGGGAAAGCTTGGCTAGTTCAAGGCTTACACGCTTCAGGCGGTTTCAGGGTTTAGGGCTCGTGAATTCCAATTTCTCTCAGCAGCGCCAGCAGATGATGATCAGGATCACATCGTCCTGAGAGTTGATATCGGGAGTTCTATTTTAAAGGAATATAGGGTTGTAGGCCTAGGGTTATAATTCGATAGGCCGTATGAGGTTCTTGAGTTCTTGTGCAATACGTAGTATTGTAGCGCAAGGCCAGGTAGACCAGCAGGGCTTCAGGGCTGCAGGCGTAGTAGTAGTAGTAGTAGTAGTAGTAGTAGTAGTAGTACTAGTAGTACTAGTAGTAGGAGTAGGAGTAGTAGTAGTAGTGTAGTAGTAG